CTTATCAGTTTGGGGTCAACCCAATGGTTGACAAGTCACAGTGGCCTATTGTTGATCCCGGGTTTGTAATAGTGCCTCTGAAGCTTGAAAGGTTTGCAGGTAGACCAAAAGTGAAGAGGATCAAAAGTAAGGGTGAGTCAGGAAAAAGGGGTCCTTACCAATGCAAAAGATGCTTCCAGTTTGGGTATATTGAGAAGGGTTGTAGTGAGCCGCCTACTGAACTCGCTGTTGAATTGCCACGGGCAGCTCCTACTAATTCAAGGTAAATTGACCCTCTGTACTTTTGCTGTAACATGATCTTTTATTAAATATGGCTGATACCTTCCTGATGTGTAGGAAAAGGAAAGAAAAGGACAGCTCCAAAAAAACCAAGAAAGTATCTGCACCTTCTACTTCCTTAGTCACACAACCATCTGTTAATCTAGGGCCAACAACAAGAAGGATGACAGCTTCCACTAGTCCTCTCAGTTCAGGACCTACAACAAGAAGCAGGGCAGCAGCAGACATATCCCCAGGAGGAATTGCAAGATGGCTTATCGTAGGCTAAGCAATGGCTTTATTAGTGCAAATGCTATGTGTTGTACTACTGTTATGATCTAAATAGACTATGGATGCATGTGTTGAACTACTATATGTGTTAGCATACCTATCCCTTTTGCTATCTTAACTAGTACTTTGTTGAGAAGTGGCTAATGTGAATGAGCGTGTTCTTGTGTGCTTATATTAAAGGGATCCCTATATTAAATGTCTTCATATGTGCCAAAATGTATGTGCGGGAATGTGCTTATATTGCTACCGAAATATGAAATATATGTGTTCATTCATGTTTAAATGTTAGGGCATATGCTGCTGTTTATTTGGTTCTCACTGGGGTATCTGTGTCCAAGTTAATAGCTCCGTGACTTCATTTTAACGGAATGGTACTTTCAGTTCATAGTCCAACCTTTCAGTGGTATTTTAGGGGGTGCACAAACTTTCAGTGGTATTTTACGGAGATTGCGATCTTTCGATGCTACACAACCAATTTTCTCTTATATCTGTAGCCAACAAGAAGCTAGCATTGGCTGAGATACGATCATGGTCAAATTTGAGACAAATTTTGACTTCCTAAAAGAATGTTTGGTCTATTAATACATTTTTTCTAGTGCTTAGATGCCTGAGTTCTAGCTTCTCTTCAGGCGATACCGTATCCACTTCTGCCTTAATTTTTTCTCCATCAAGCTGAATCTCAGCTTTACATGCTCACGAGCCAACGATAAAGTTGCGAGACGTTTTATTACTGTTAGGGGCTCCACCAACCCCTAGAAAATCTGTTAAATCAGCAGTAGTTGAGTTCTTCGCTTTGAGTGACAAGTGACCTCGAGCGGAGATAGATATCCACAGGTGACAGGTCTGAGGCTCTGAGCCCTTTTCAGGCTTTTAGCCTATGTAGGCTCCTAACCCTTATCCTTACATGCTAAGGGAATGCGCATGCACAAGCAAACCAAAAGGACTTCTAAATCAGGGACGTGACCTTGAGGAAGGTAAGGCATGGCAACCGATGATCCTTGACAGCCTTGCTGCACCCTGCATTGGTTTCGATCGGCCTGACACAACCTTTATCGAGAGCGATGACTCGTGTGCGAGATAGTTAGCAGTTGCTCTTGCTCATTTCCTGTGCTGGCGATCTTTTCCTTTACCAAGTTTCCTGGTCGCTCGGGTGAGATGATTCTTTTCCTTCTCTGACAACGCAGTTCCGTTTCAAAATGCTATTTAGTTGGACGGAGTGTCAGCAGTAGCCGAAGCTGACTATGCATACGCCACATTTCAATCTTCTAGAGAACATGTCGTAGGAATGTGGTAGATGATTAGGACACTCTGTCCAACAAAGTAGACCACTCGGTTCCCATATCAAAAGGCTAAGAGTCTGCTTGGTTTCTTTGCCCATCCAAGCAAGGCAAGATGCCAGTGAAAGAACCAAGCAGACCCTAAAACATTTTTCATCTGTTTATTTCCACTTCCACGTACTTCTTCTGTTCCAAATTATAAGTCACTTTAATTTTTTTTAGTACATCCATTTTACTATGTATCTAAATATAATAATATGTTTAGATACATAGCAAAATGGATGAATAAAAAAATCAAAGCGACTTATAATTTGGAACGGAGGGAATAGTAGGTTATGTTACACAGCAGACATCATCTGAGTACCAAAGCATGTAACCCTGCCCCCAGGCGGATGCCATTCATGAAGAACGTCGGTTTACTTGCAACAAAAGATAGTGAGAGCCTTCGGGGCAGAAGTCAACGACTCATTTGACTTAAGGAAGCATGTCAGATTTGAGTTGGACGAGCTCTCATTTCCTGGGCCTGCAATGGAACATCGGAACGTTTTGGATCAGCCTGTAGCTGGCCCTCCCATTGCCTTGTCGGATCTGGATCGTCCTGAACCTCCCTCTCAACTCTCAATGCAAGCAGCAATCCTGCAATATGTGGGCTACTTGATCCTCGTGCTCTATCAGTTCAGTTGTTTTCTTATAGGTCTCGCCAACTGGCTTCCTGACCTCATCATCGATGAAGCATGCTGTCTGATTTGCTATAAGGTGTTAGAAGTTTAGACAAATTATTAATTATGGTATATTTTAATCCAGAAAATTATCACGCTCCTGACGCACTACCAGTATCTAGCAAAGTGACTATATGAAAAATTAAGAGCATGTTGGGTAGCGCTCCACCAGCGGTGGCTCTGTGTGTGAGTGGGAAAGGCCCGTTGACAATCAATGAAATTATCCAACTTATTTATGTTTCGGTATTTATTTGCATCCCTGGTGTGTGCTTTATCCTTCCTAATTTAGCTCGCTAGGTTAGTTGATAAGGTTCGAACTTAGGGTGCAAAAATCTTTTGCATTAGAGGTAGCAACACTTATCAAAATCGTAGTGCATGTCTAGATAGTATTTTACATAGATTTTGATAAGTACTCCTTTCGTTCCAAATTATAAACCGTTATAACTTTTCTAGACACATAGTTTTTATTATATATCTAGACATAGCCTATATATAGATGCATAGCAACAACAATATACTTAGAAAACATAGGACGACTTAGAATTTGGAACATAGGAAGTAAGCTTTATTTTTCAAGCCAACAGAGGAAGTAAGTTTTAGTTGGCCATTAGTTTTCAAATTGCCCTATCACAAACCCACCCCTCTTTTTAGTTGTTATAGTCCCTTCACCCATTTATATCATGAAAAAATAGTCCAAAGCGCAAAAAAGAAATCCCGATAAACTACTGGAGATAGATGGAACGATGAGAACTGAAGTAAAATATGTTGAACTCACGAAAAGATTGATGGAAACTTCAAATAAAAAGATTAAGCTCAAGGATAAAGGAATTAAATTCCAGAAAAAAATTAGTAAATTTCTCAGAGAGAGATATTCATCTCCTAGACATACTAAAAACCATTTACACTTGTAAAGATCAAATGCAACCGGCATGAATGAAAAAAACCTATCAAATTAATTAAGAAATTTATAAAATAAATTTTATTTTTACACTAAAAATTTGGGGTGTGAAACCATGTTGTCGCAAACTGACCTGATAGCAAGTCCGTGCGCGTCGCGACACGTTCACACCATGTCACAGCTCAACGCGCTCGTGCAAGTGTAGCAAGCCTTTTGCCTCTTTATCTCTCTCTCTCTCTCAACTTCACAACATGTGCATGCAATAGTCACCCATTTAATTGAGTCCCTTAGTATCTAATTTAATAAAAATAAATGGGCCAAGCCCAATCAAAATCCAACATAATGTTAGCCATTTCAATACCACCATCCCCCCAGGGAAAGGATATACAAAGCCCATCCTTTTACTGAAATAACAAATGGCAACCTTAGCAGGTGATCAAAAGCTATTCCTTCATAAAAAAAGCTATTCCTCTTAGCCTAAGTACCCTAGCTACTAAAGGTCATTCTAACAACAAGTTGAGATTTTTCCAATCAGCACCTGAAACAAAACCATAAATTAGAGCTTTTCCACTAATATGCTCATAAAGCACTTCCATTGGAACTCCGGTAGTATTGTAAAAGGTTCAACGCAAATACACGAAAGACATGGATGCAACGTGAGGGAAGTTAGTGCAAGGCAAACGATTTGACTAAAACGCAATCAAGTCTTACATAATTAAGTACCTTCACCAAATAAACCAGAAATCTGTTGCCACTATATGATCAGAAGGAAATCTATCTAAGTAGAGAAATATTTGCTTGGCAAACAATAGTTAACATCCTCGTAACCAAGTTAAAATAAAATAACCATGGATTCATTCCAATAAAACCATTTCTGTTAAATTGAATTTGTTGGAGTAAAATGTACTCCCCCATTCCAATTTATAGGTCGCTTTTGCTTTTCTAGAAACACAATTTTTACTATATATCTAGACTTATCATATATCTATATGGATAACAAAACTAGAATCCAGAAAAGCCAAAACAACCTATATAATTTGGGGCAGAGGGTGGTAGAAATCTGGTAGGCATGTCCATGGATCCTGGCTATTTGACACAGAGCACCAGATAAATAAAGACCGAGAAAGTGGTGAACCTTCTTTACAGCTCAGCCACCTACTAGAAATGATTTATGAAAAAACATATATAAAAGAAAAGTATGAGAAAAAGGAGTGAGGAATTGGGAAAATATTTCAGTAGGGGGGCAGCCTTCCTACCCTCTTTGCTCCTCCCTTTCTCCCTTTGAAGTACACATGGCCCATAGTCGTCGTTCCTGATGTGTGATGTCTGTTAGTGTGTAGGGGAGGAGGAAGAACGAAGGAAGCCCAGGAAAGCTCCATCTCACCTCTCCACCAAACGCTTCTTGGTAGGATATTTGGCAGAGAAGCTTCCACCCTGTCTTTCATCTCTTCTTTAACTACACTTGTGATTACCTAGAACATGACAATGTGAGACCAGACAAGGGGAGAGGCTTGGGGAGGAGTCACAGGTGCTGCCGAGAGGCTGCTTGTGGGGATCATGAAGATGAGGTCTATCTTTGTCATCGCCATTCTTGCCGCCACCACTGCAGCAGTGCTCTTCCATGGGTCTGTAGTTGATGTGCAGCAGAGCCACCATACAGAGAGGATCTCAGGTGGGGGGGGGCGGGCGGGCAGGGGCTTTCTCTCTTTGGTTGCGCTTTTCCTCCATTCAGTAAATCATCCTAGATGTCATGAAACTCAAATGCAGACTAGTTTTTGTCTGAAGGGAGTAGGGACCGTGATGAATTTCTATATGAAACTCAAGTTCTGGGCCTAGAGTGCTTAGCACTGATTATATATAATAAGGGGAAACATTTATATTCTTCCATTATAGTATTCAGTACGCATAAACTGGAAGACAAAAAAAAAAACTGTTTTTCTTAGGAAATGTAGGTGTTGGCTATGTGTGATAAAGCACACCTGGTGAAGGCAATAGGCTAACAAAAAGCATTTGAGATCTTCCAGTTTCTGATGACATGGAAATTTCAAATTTACATGGGTGGAAGCATTTATCCCAAAAGGCCACGTCCTTCCTACTTGAGATATCCGACGAGCAACACATCATATTTGGCTCTGAGCTCTGACTCTCTGAGGTTGTACTAATGGTCCATCTACAAATTTGATTATGACGACCTAACCTATGTCTGAAGAGCCAATGTTCTTATATATAGCACGAGTTTAGAACACAGGAAGAGGCAAAGGACACCTGTTGATAATTCAGTTCATATCCTTTTATATTTCAGGACTGAGGAAGTAACTTCTTGTTTTCTTGCTTAGCATAGAAATCTCTAAAGAAACAGTGTATTCCCATGTCATCCTATATATAAAATTCTCATGTTTCAAACGAGGGTCTCAATTTCATTATGTACGTATACCCAATAAAAACGCAGGTACTGGCGGTGACGTTTTAGAAGAAGACCCTGTGGGCAAGCTAAAGGTCTACGTGTACGACCTCCCGGCGAAATACAACACGAAGCCGGTGGAGAAGGACCCGCGTTGCCTGACGCACATGTTCGCGACGGAGATCTTCGTGCACCGGTCCCTCCTCTCCAGCGCCGTCCGGACCCTGGACCCCGAGGAAGCGGACTGGTTCTACGCGCCCGTGTACACGACCTGCGACCTGACCGCCTCGGGCCACCCGATGCCCTTCGACTCCCCGCGGATGATGCGCAGCGCGATCCGGCTGATCGCCGAGCGCTGGCCGTATTGGAACAGGTCCGAGGGCGTTGACCACTTCTTCGTCACGCCGCACGACTTCGGGGCCTGCTTCCATTTCCAGGAGGAGAAGGCCATGGCGCGCGGGATCCTGCCCGTGCTCCGGCGCGCCACGCTGGTGCAGACGTTCGGGCAGCGGAACCACGTGTGCCTGAAGGACGGCTCCATCACCATCCCGCCGTACGCGCCGCCGTGGAAGATGGAGGCGCAGCTTCTGCCCCCGGCCACCCCGCGGTCCATCTTCGTCTACTTCCGCGGCCTCTTCTACGACGCCGGCAACGATCCCGAGGGCGGCTACTACGCTAGGGGCGCCTGAGCCTCCGTGTGGGAGAACTTCAAGAGCAACCCGCGGTTCGACATCTCCACGGTGCACTCGACGACCTACTACCAGGACATGCAGCGGGCGGTGTTCTGCCTGTGCCCGCTGGGCTGGGCGCCCTGGAGCCCCCGGCAGGTGGAGGCCGTCGTCTTCGGCTGCATCCCAGTGGTCATCGCGGACGACATCGTGCTGCCCTTCGCGGACGCCATTCCGTGGAAGGACATCGGCGTGTTTGTCGCCGAGGACGACGTCCCGAGGCTGGACACCATCCTGACGTCCATCCCCGTGGAGGTGGTGCTGAGGAAGCAGCGGGTTGCTTCTACGCCGGTCATCTCACTCAGCAGCCGGCGTAGCCATAAAGCTTGGCACGTCGCTGTAGCCACCGCCACGTATCTCTCGCATCTTCTGTTTCAGCGATAGCCATGAGATTGGAGCCGATCCGAGGAAGACGAGTACGCCAGAGGGGCTCCGCCGTCCGTCGATGTCCCCCGCTATGTCTGCATCGCTAAACACAGTGAGCTGCAGCCTACTTTCATCGGTCTTGGGGAAGACGATCCTCTGATCCACCGTCCCCTTGACGTAGCGCAGCAGCCGCTCCACCGCGGCCCAGTGATCCTCTCGTGGATCCTCCATGAAGCGGTTGACGTAGCCCACGGCGAACGTAATGTCCGGTCTCGTGTGGACTAGGTAGCACAGACCGTCGACGATGTTCCGGTAGAGTGTTGAATCTACCCTCGCCGCGGTACTAGCCTTCGTCAGCTTCAGTCGCTCCTCCATCGGAGTCACACACGACTTGCACTCAGCCATGCCGCTCCGCTCCAATAGCTTCGAGGCGTACGCGCTCTGACCGAGCATGAGCGCCTCCTTCACCTATCTCACCTCGATGCCGAGGTAGTAGGAGAGCGCGCCGAAATCGCTCATTCAAAAATGAGCCGTCATCTCGCGCTTGAAGTTGTCGATGTCCTCCGCACGTGCGCCCGGTGACGATCAAGTTGTCCACATACACGCCGACGACGAGCTCCTCCTTCCCCGTCCCCGCGTGTAGAGCGCGTGCTCGGTTGCGCATCGCGTGAACCTAAGCTCGCCTAGCGTGGCGTCAAACTTATCGTTCCACGCTCGCGGGGCCTGTCCCAAGACTGATCGTCCTCAGGATAATGGACCGAGAGCAGCGCCTTCTTGCCAAGGTGAAGAGGGCCCAAAACCGGCTGTACCCGCTCTATTTGAAGGTGGAGCAGCCGGTGTGCCTAGCAGCATGGCACACCAAGGAGCCATGATTGTGGCATGCCCGGTTCGGCCATCTCAGCTTCGATGCGCTCAATCGGCTGGAGAAGATGGTCCGAGAGCTGTCTCACATCAAGCACGTAGGCGAAGCTGTGTGACAGCTGCCTGGCCGGAAAGCAGAGGAGGATGCCATTTCTAAAGGCAGCCAAGTATCGCGCGGCAGACGCTCTCGAGCTCGTCCACGGCGATCTCTGTGGGCCAATCACGCCAGCCACAAACGGTGGTCGGCGGTACTTCCTTCTGCTCGTGGATGATTGCAGTCGCTATATGTGGCTATAACTCCTGACGAGCAAGGATGAAGCAGCGGAGGCGATCAAGAAGTTCAAGGAGCGCGCGGAGGCGGAGAGCGACAAGAAGCTGCACGTGCTACGAACTGATCACGACGGCGAATTCACTTCGGTGGAGTTCGTTGCGTACTGCGCGGATCAAGGTGTGGTGCGACACCACACCGCGCCGTACTTGCCACAATAGATTGGCATGGTGGAGCGGCGGAACTAGACGGTAGTCGGCATGGCTCAATCCATGATGAAGATCAAAAGCATGCCGTTAAGGATCTAGGGTGAGGCGGTGACCATGACGGTGTTCATCCTCAACCACGCGCCCACAAAGGCCCTGAAGCCGTTCGAAGCGTGGTATGGGCACAAGCCGAGCGTGTCCTTCATCTCCGGATATTCGGCTGCATCGGCCACATCAGGAAGACGAAGCCGGTCCTCACCAAGCTAGAGGATTGGAGCACATCGATGGTGCTCCTGTGCTACGAGGAAGGTACCAAGGCGTACTGGCTCTATGACCCATGCGGAGGTAAGGTGGTTGTCTCGCGCGACGTCGTGTTCAACAAGAAGATGGCCTGGGACTAGGACAGTCCGGACACAGGGGAAGCTAGCGGCTTCACCAGCACCTTCATCGTCGAGCACTTAGTCATCCACGGTGGTGGGGACGTGGGAGAGGAGGTGCATACCACTCCCGCAATAGAGCCGAGCACTCCGGGAAAGGTGCCGAGCACTCCAGGAGGGGTACCGAGCACACCAGGAGTGGTGCCGAGCGGTCCTGCACTGGTGTCGACTACTCCCGAATGGGTGCCGAACGCTCCCGTAGCAGAGCCGAGAGGTCTTGCAGTGGTGTCGACCACTACAAAACTGGTGCCGAGCACTCCTGCAGTGGTGCCAACCACTCCAAGAGTGGTGACGAGCGGTCTAGGAGTAGTGCCGAGCATAGTACCTGGGGTGCCAAGCACTCCAGGTGCCGTGTCGATCTCTCCGGCGGAACAAGGGACTCCATCGACGTTGATCGAGTTCGCCTCACCTCCAAGCGACATTACAGAGTTCGTGGATGCTTTCCACGACGGTGAGGAGGTGCGGTTCCGCAGGCTGGATGACGTCGGCGGCGGCACAGGGTCCTGGGTCGGCTGCTCAATGACCTAGAGCTGCTTCTCGTCAGTGCAGAGGAACCACCCACATTCGCACTGGCCGAGCGCGATGCAAATTAGCGACGAACGACGTTGAAGGAGATGAAGGCGATCGTGGAAAACGAGACTTGGAAGCTCGTCGATCCACCTCTAGGATGTCGTCTGATCGGCCTGAAGTGGGTATACAAGGTCAAGCGAGACGAGCGCGGCACCATTGTCTGCATCGACATCGAGGAAGTCTTTGCGCCGGTAGCGCGCATGCAGTCTATCCGACTGCTGCTGGCTTTGGCAGGAGCGAAGGACTTAGCGCGTTCATTACCTCGACGTAAAATCGGCCTTCCTCAACGACAAGCTGGCGAAGACGGTCTTTGTCAGGCAACCTCCGGGTTTCATCGTCAAGGGAGCGGAGCACAGGGTGCTTCGACTGCGTAAGGCGCTCTACGAGCTGCGGCAAGCCCCGCGAGCGTTGAATGCCAAACTTGACGCCACGCTGGCCGAGCTTGGGTTCACATGATGCGGAACCGAGCATACGCTCTACACGCGGCGACGGAGGAAGGAGGACCTCGTCGTCGGCATGTATGTGGACGACTTGATCATCACCGGCGCGCGTGCGGAGGACATCGATAGCTTCAAGCGCAAGATGGCGGCTCATTTTCGAATGAGCGATCTCGGCGCGCTCTCCTACTACCTTGGCATCGAGGTGAAATAGGGGAAGGAGGCGCTCATGCTCGGTCAGAGCGCGTAGACGCCTCGAAGCTGTTGGAGCGGAGCTCCATGGCTGAGTGCAAGCCGTGCGTGACTCCGATGGAGGAGCGGCTAAAGCTGACGAATGCTAGTACCATGGCGAGGGTAGATGCAACACTCTACCAGAGCATCATCGATGGTCTACGCTATCTAGTCCACACGAGGCCGGACATTGCGTTCGTCGTGGGCTACGTCAGCCGCTTCATGGAGGATCCTCGAGAGGATCAGTTGTTGCGCTACGTCAAGGGGACGATGGATCAGGGGATCATCTTTTCCAAGATCGGTGGAAGTAGGCTGCAGCTCACTATGTTTAGCGATGCAGACATGGCGGGGACATCGATGGACGGCGGAGCACCTTTGGCGTGCTCATCTTTCTCGGGTCCGCTCCAATCTCATGGTTGTCGCTGAAATAGAAGGTGGTGGCGTTGTCCACGTGTGAGACAGAGTACGTGGCGGCGGCCACAGTGACGTACCAAACTGTGTGGCTGCGCCGTCTGCTGGGCGAGTTGACCGATGTGGAAGCTCACCCACCAGCACTGACGGTGGACAACCAACTCGCCATCGCCCTCGAGAAGAATCCGGTTCTCCACGACCAGAGTAAGCACATCGACGTCAGGTTTCACTTCCTCAGGGACTATGTCGATGGAGGGCATATCATCATCGAGTTCGTCGAAACTGGTCGGCAACTCGCGGACGTCCTCACCAAGCCGCTCGGCCGTCTTTGGTTCATGGAGCTGAAGAAGATGATTGGCATGGTGGAGATTTTATGATTAGCAGCAGGATTATTAGGGAAAGAATTGTAAAAAGTAATCTCTGCCGCCACTGACGCTGTGGTGTAGGGAAAGGCTGAAAGGGCTCCCCCTAACCGCAGATCAGAGCTGCCATGGCGAGGGCGGTGTCGAAGGCTTCCCACCCGCACTGTAGCAACAGCGAGGGCAAGCGCCAAAGTCGGTCCCCATCACAAATCTAGTCATCAGTGAAAACATGGCGGCTGACATGTCTGTGTACTAGGATTAGATGGGTAGAGTTGTATATATAGCTTCTCACTGCAACTCAGTAAAGAGAGCAAGTTCAGTTTTGTCATCTCCTCTGCAGAGCTCCGATCAACGTTGATACTTATGTTGTGTGTGCTCTGTTTCCCCTTCCTTCTTCTACCTTCGGCCATAATGTGTGGTCGATAACGACAATAAACGATTGAGCCACCCGTGCCGGAGATCTCGGACCCAACAGGCTCCTCGCGAGTCCGGCGATGAAGCGCGCCGTGTTGTTCCCATAGCCCGTGCAGCCGGGCGACGTGTTCCACCAGGTACTCAACGGGCTCGCACGCAAGCTCCCGCACGGTGACGATGCCTTCTTGAAGAACGGACAGACGGTCCTCAACTGGACGGCTAGCCCGCCGAGAGACCTCAAGCCATGGTAGCTGCGTCTGCGTAGCTGGCGTAGTGGGTATCTCCACCGCTGGCCATCAGCCAAATACTCTCTTTTTTTGTATCTCCACCATACGTACGTACATCTATAGGCGTTGTAGGACTAGGACTAGTATCGCATTACGGCTGCATGACAAAAGTGGGACTAGGACTATATACACCGGGTCTTTGCCCTTGGATATCATACAAAAACAAAATTTATAAGTCTCAGAAATTTATTGGGGTCCTGACCCGATGACAAAGCCATTTGTGATCGCATTTGTGAATATCATACCCAAAATTTACAAGGCTTTACTCCTGGTGATGTCTGGTGTCATTTAAATTATCCTCCAGAATGAAAATTCTCATGTATTCCTCTGTATCAGAAAACTTAACTTTATGTTCTAGGATTCAAAAAATATCCCAAAAAACTTATGTTTTAGCT